GATCTTTAGTTCCAGATGTCGTATAGTTATGTGTTTTTACACTACAGTATTACATAAATATATTATAAGAATTAAAATCACGATTTTTAGTTCCAGATGTCGTATAGTTATGTGTTTTTACACAACAGTATTACGTAAATATATTATAAGAATTAAAATCACGAACTTTAGTTCCAGATGTCGTATAGTTATATGTTTTTACACAACAGTATTACGTAAATATATTATAAGAATTAAAATCACGATCTTTAGTTCCAGATGTCGTATAGTTATATGTTTTTACACAACAGTATTACGTAAATATATTAATAAGAATTAAAATCATGATCATTTGCCGGATTCTTATGACGATCACTTTTGTTCGTTTTCACTGTCTTAACGTTTTCATCTATTCTATTCTAACTGGAAGTACGATGCTATGGTAAACTTTGAAATGAGAAGATAGAATTAATAAAAAATGGGATTCTCCGATCTGTCACCTCGACGTCTTAAGAACGGCATTGTACTAAATATACATACTTGATGACATTTATTAGTATTAGAAAGATGAAAACTAACTCATGAGTCATGTGGCATGTCACAAGTCTAGAACATATGAAAGCTGTGCTTCACTAGAGAGAGAAAGTTTCGAACTCTCAAAACGGGAACCTGTGGTAGTAGTTGTTTATTGTTATTGATTCAGGGTGAAACTAAAAGGAAAATGCAACCACCACTGAAAAGAAGCGTATTCCCAACTATATATATAAGAGGTTGATGTCCGTCTGTCCGCAAAACTCCTCCCACAGTGTAAGTCTGATTTGAATGAAACTTCGCACGGTTTTTCAACATCATAAGGGGAAGTTTCTAACTGTTTCATTACAACTAAATCTTTTATATAAAAAAAAAGTTTATTTAGTGCACGTGTCCACTTTTTTTAAGACATAAGAAAATAACAGCTTTATATCACGCCAAAATGAAAAATGTAATAAAATAGACCTTGGCTAAAGTTAAAAAAATAACAGGATCATATTTAATAACATTTTTTCCTAAATCGCTTCCTTAATGGAAAAATGGTACTTCTCTACTTTTGATTAATAATGTATATTAATTTTGTACATTTATTATTATCAACGAAATCAACTGTTTAACACACCTTCTAAAATTGTGGTAAAGTGAGTTTAATCCAGAATTGAAAAGTGAGCCTCTTTAGTGGAGAATCATTGGGATATTTCAAGAGAAAAGTGACTTTTTCTGCTGAAAAATCCAAGAGTAATCTACGAATTGAATTGTTCTGTCACCGATGGAATCACAAGTCCTTCGTACAGAGTTCGTTGCATACAAATTTGCAGGAATTTTGTAGTACTTCGATCTTCGTAAGTTACACAAGTATATATATTTTACTTCAATATAAGTATAAAGTGAACTATGCGAAAAATTGCCAAACGGAAAAGTGACTTATCATGGAGAAAGTCTGAAACTTTGAGGAAGAAAATGAAACGTCAAGATGCAAGTTACAGACAGAAAGAGAGAAGAAAGAGAGAGGCTTGCTCACCAAGTTATAAGGCAGATCCAAAGAGAAGAAGCCAGGAACAAATCCGAAATACAGAAGTAGATTAAATTCCTCTCCAAGATGTAGTTAGAAGTCAGAAACAATTTCGTGACAGAGAAACACACTGTTCAGCTCTCCAAAAATCTAACCGATTCTGCTAGTTAGAAATATTTCTGAAGAGGTTAAAACCGGCTATATCTGGGTCTTAAACCCGCGACCAACACGAGATAAGTGTATTTACCAGTTTGGCCGCCAATTGTGATTTCATTCCTTTAAGTCTCACGCTCAATCCTTTTGTGGCCGCACTTTTTTTCACACCTACGGTGTTTTTGATTAGATATAATGACTTTTTGTCAATACACACCAACAAACCTAAGCAAGTAAGAAAGTGACACTCGATAGTAACCAACATTAGCTTTAGGATCGCAACCCTATTATTCAGAACAGATCTTTACTTTACAGAACCAACCAGACTTTTTAATATATATGGTAGTAGTTTTTCCCCTGTAAAACAGTGTTAATAGCTTCTTTTATAGTAACGCCATGGAATTTATTAACAGTTTCTTGTCATCACCCCATGTAATCGGTACAGCGTTATCAAGCATCATTATTTAAGCTAATTTCTAAAGCTAATAGCACGTCACGCTAAACGCTCTTTAATTAGGAGAACTTCATAAAATTTAGCAAATCTGTACTTAAAAGTTGGCAATGAATAATCAATAATAACCGTCCACGCGTATGATTCTTTTGAAAAATTGAGCTAGAAACTGATAATCTAGTTTGCTTGGCCTAACCAATACTTATGTATCTGCACGTTTTTTCACTTTATAGTTTTGCTGTTTTAAATCAGCCGTCTTTAATCAGAATGACAAAAAACTAAAAACGGTTTACTTTTACTCTTAGTTGAAGATGTAGTAAAAATGTTAGACCGATAGCTCACGTGACTTTATGTGTAGGCATGCGCAAAAATTTTCGTCAAATTTGAGCGGTTTTTTTAATAAATATAACATTGATACATTCTGCAATTATACCATTGTCAGTTATATAACATTGATACATTCTGCAATTATACCATTGTCAGTTATATAACATTGATACATTCAGCAGTTATATCATTGATATATACATTGAACAGTTACAATAATTTCATTTATCTAGCTAGAAATTATTTGTATATTTTATCCAATTAAAACCTCCTTTCGAAGTAATAAGTTATCACATTTATAGTGTTTAAAAGAAAATGGGTAGATCATACCATGGTTTCTAGCTCTAAGTCTGTCGGAAGCAGCGCTGTCTGACAATTCCAACCACACCGTTTGAAGTGTTAACCTCAAAGTGAGACAATTTTTCTGGCTTTGCGGTTTCCCGCGGTCTCGGCTGTCATGACGGATGCGTACAACACCATATATGGACATCAGACACATTTTTAGAGAAGAGCACGGGTTTCACAGCACATCTTCGACACGTTGCAGTATCAGTTAGTTGTTTTCATGGAAATGTCGGGTTAAATGTAGAGAGGAAAAACAAAACAAAAAACTTCAAAGCAGAAAAACACATTCTTTCGCTAACGTGTTAAAAACTAAACCTGCATTGTTTAAGTTGAAAAAACAACAACAACTAACTTACTATTTAGTTAAAGTACAATAAGTATCTTAATGCTATCGTGAATTATTTCTTTGAAATAAAATATGAAAATATCGCGTCCTATGTTAAATATGGTACTATCTTCATAGAAACGTATTTGCTTTTGATCTTTGGTTGAAATAGAAAACAGTCGGTGGTTTTCTAGAAACAACATTATTTTCGTGGTTAATAATTGGACACCAAGGTAATATATTGCTTTTAAAAATTAATATTTGAAATTCAATTTAACATTTTGCTAGAGACTATAGAAGTATAAAAAAGTGTGATTCTCCAAGATAGGTTGTTTTAGTTAGAAATATATCTGCAGACCCAGTTCTTCATCTTTACAAACAAGAGTTGTAAAGGCGAATAATACTGAATAATTGGTCATTCAGAGCCATCTTTATGACCCCAAAGGTATCCCCCATTTCATGCATTATATAACGTGTAAAAATAATAATTGTTTGTTTGTAATTAAGCACAAAGCTACACAATGGGCTATCTGTGCTCTGCCCACCACGGGTATCGAACCCCGAATTCTAGCGTTGTAAGCTCGCAGACATACCGCTGTGCCACTGTGGAGCAAAAATAATAAAACAATGCCATATACACAGGATTCGAAATACGGCGAAAGAGAGCTTAAGCTCCCCTATAAGAGACAGTGTTTAATCAGTGTTTTCAATGCTAATGTTTTTGCTTTGAACTATGTTTACGTGTTTGTAAAGGTAAGCAAAGGGAATTTGTTGTATCTATTAATAGCTAACTATATAATTTAGCAACCCCCCTTCCAAGAGGCAAAGTGTAATTCGAACACTGGATATACTTGAAAACATCTTAAGCAGTAATAGTATTATATTACACTCTCGCATTATACTCATACAAGTTTCTCGATCTTTGAGATGTAGTTCAACTTTTCCTCAACTTGAAATGCTTAGATAATCATTGTACCACAAAATATCATAGGAAAGTTTTTCTGTTTCTGTATATGGTAGAACATGAGAAAATATCGACGTTTTTTCTTTTTTACTTTTTCAGTAGTAGCTCCCATTTTTTTCATAAATTCTTCGTCTTCTGTTTAACATTCATTAACCACATTAACCTGAGAGCTATATAGTTTCAACCCGACTGAAGTAACTTTCATCTTTCTAGATTTGTTTTCATATTACACAGAATCTGCTTAGATCCATGAAAGACTACACCCAGTGAATGAAAAGTTTTAATTTTTCTATCAGCTTTTATGCTGTCCTTTTCATGAGTGACATGGCTTTATACTACTTTCTCTCACAGTTTCTGCAGCTCTAAAATGGTTTTAGTAAGTGACATGACAAGCCTTTAGGGTATCATCTCTCAAGAAATACGGCAGAGTGTCGTGCGGCTGAAACAACCTGCTGCAGGAAACAGTGTGTGTTATTAACAGGAGTGATAATTTAACGATATTACATCTCGAACTGTGGTAATCCAAACTATCATATATTTTTATTGGATATGCTCTACTGGACTTTTACTTCACATACCAAATTTCAAGGAAATCCATTAAGAAATACTTAAGATATAACATCACCAATTTTGATTGAGTTTTCTTTTTTTTTCCTCGCACCAAAAGTATGGAAACTTTAGTTGATAGAAAACATACTTAACTATTATGGATTTTTTCAAATTTTGTACAGCAATAGATCTTTACAGGCTACAATTAGGAGTCTCATTTGTTGTAACTATAAGCCACATGTGTAAAGAACTGACAATAATATAACTGCAGAATGTATTAATTATATATAAATATATACATACATACATAAATGTAATAGTACTGTCTGTTGCATGTCCCTGTAACTACTTCGCAGGGTGTGGATCGATCTTCACCAAAATTGGTAAGGAGGTTCATTAGGTCTATGGGGAGATGCATACAAATTTTCAGTTTTGCGTTTTGCGGTTTTTATGGAGTTTTTTACCACTAATTCGCCCCCTGTTGATGGATCTTCATCAAATTTGGTATGCAGATTCATTGGGTAATTGGGGAGATGCATAAAAATTTTCAGTTTTGCTGTTTTTATGGGCTCTTTTTACCATTACTTCGCCCCCTGTTGATGGATCTTCATCAAATTTGGTATGCAGATTCATTGGGTAATTGGGGAGATGCATAAAAATTTTCAGTTTTGCTGTTTTTATGGGCTCTTTTTACCATTACTTCGCCCCCTGTTGATGGATCTTCATCAAATTTGGCATGAAGGTTTGTTGAGTCAATGCGGAGATACATGCAAAGTTATGGTTTCAGATTTTGTGTTTTGCAGCTTTTATGGGCGTTTTTGCGTTTTTTATAAT